ATGATGATGATGATGATGATGATGATGATGATGATGATGATGATGATGATGATGAGGAGGAGGAGGAGGAGGAGGAGGAGGAGGAGGAGGAGGAGGAGGAGCGGGGGGAAGGAGGAGGATGAGGAGGAGGAGGAGGAGGAGGAATTTGATTCTGCTGGATTCTGCCGATCGAAAGAACACGATGCCCCATGGAATCGCGCCGCGTGACATCCTGGCCGTATCGGGCGGTCCCCGAGTCGAGCCAGGATGCCGTACCCTCTGAGGGCTAGCCTCACAGGGGCTTTCCAGTGGTGGGAAGTGTACCCTACCAAAGTCTCTTTAGCCCACCCCCGATCACCCTTCGGGCCCCAGGGCAACATGGGGAAACTATGCCCGACCATCTGTCGCGGGCGTACCTGGCACACCTACGACAGAAATCACACGATTGACGGAACACGAATTTGTGCCCCCCTCCTATTGCGTTGTCGACCCTGACAGCCCCCCAGTCCAGGATGGCCCGCGGAGGGGGGGTGGCCGTCAGGGATGGAGGAGGGGCCGCCTCGGCCCCTTCGCCCGCACCGCCAGCCGTCCCAGGAGGCCCCGGGGGGTCCACCAGGAGCTCCAGGGCGGGGTCGGGGGGGTTCGAATCCATCGACGGCAGTGTCGACGGCGTCGCTACCTAACAAACCTACGTACGCTCCTTCGCAGTTGCAGCCGTGGCGGCGCCGTGCACTGTCTGTGGCTGCCGCAAGAACAGGCCGTGGTTCTCGTGGTGCAAGTCATGCCTCTCGCCGCTCCCGTCTGCTTTCGCCAAGGGCCGCCCTCGTGCTGGTGGTGACGGCGCTCAGCTGGATGGCGGGGGCAAACGTCGCGGCGGCGGTGACGGAGGAGGCAAAGGTGCTGGGAAGGGGTATGGGGGCGCCGTCAAGCCCCCGCCCCCGCCCAACAGCCACCACCAGGAGTACCTCGATGCGCTCGCCAAGCACTTCAAGGGCGTTGAGGGGCTCCCAGGGTCGGAGGCCATCCTCCAGTCTCTGTCGGCGTCGGCCTCTGCGGTCAAGCAGGCCGCCCTGGACAAGCAGGAGGCAGGCGTCCAGGCATCGGCGGTCCAGAAGCAGTTGCTCTCTAAGGAGAAGGAGCTCGAGCAGGTCGCCGGGATCATCGAGCATCATCGTAAGCGCGGAGAGGAGTTGCAAACTAAGTCAGTCCAGATCAACGCGGAGATCGAGCAGCTTCGTGTGCGGTATCGTGACCTATCTGCCAAGGTCGTCCCCCAGTTGGGGTCCGAGGCGGGAGTTGACATCGCTAAGTTCAAGGACGCATTCACGGCCATGGATGCCATTCTGCAGGAGGCCGCTACGGTTGTGGCTAATCATAATCTGTCCGACCTCAAGGGCAATATGCAGGCCATGCACAACGCTCTTCAGTCGGGCAAGGAGCACTTGTCGAAGTCGGAGGAGGCCGCCACCAAGTCGCGAAGTTCTGGATCGAGAGCTTCATCAGCGGGGCCTCCAGCTCCAGTGGTCAAGAGCGACGACGACCTGTCCCACCTGCTCGGCGGATTTGCTGGATCACCCGAAGACAAGAAGCGCAAGGTTGAGATGCTGGAGGCCGTCGCGTCCAGGTTTCGGACCTAGCAGTTCGGGGTCGTCATGGAGCACTACGGCACGAGAGGGGGCACCGCCCCCGACTTACCCCCGTGGGGACCTCTTGGGGGACAGGCCCTCCCGCCTAGCGGGGGAGTCGGGAGCTTCGATTCTCGAGGTTGCTCACGGGACATGGTCTACCTGTACCTTCTCGTCGTCGGGGGCCACGACTTCTGGGCCTTCCTTGTCCTGCGCTTCGGCTGGGCCTGGATGGGCTTTGTGGGCGTCGTGGTCATCGAGTTTTGCTTCGTCTTCGCTGCCAGCCTATAGGGAGGGGGCTTTGTGTCCTCCCACCAAGCCGCTGGAGGCTCATGCGCATGCCGTTCCAGCTGCAGGTCCACTCTCTGCAGGCATAGGATCTCTGTGCCGCAACCAGCCCAGTGTCGTCCTCCCCTCCTCCTCGGAGTTCTCTGGCAGTGAGTTTGGGTTCATCCTGGAGACCTTCAATGGGTCGGGGTGGGGGGCGGCTCGTAAGTGGCTGCAGCAAACCAGCGCTCATATAGTCATCATCCCGGAGCATAAGCTTCGCAGTTTTGAAGAAATCGATCAAGCCAGTGCCCGGGGTCTCAGGCACGGTTGGAAGATCCTGTGGGAGCCTGGTTGTTCTGGGGATGAAGGAGGTGCCTCTGCAGGCGTCGCGGTTGCGGTTCGTGCTGTATTCGGGTTCCACCCTTTCCTGGACGTCTCGCAGGTCTCTCCTCACAGGTGTGTGGCAGGCGTTGTGCAGAGGCTTGGCCAGCCACAGTTCTTAGTCGCCAATTTTTAATTGCATGACTGCGAGCAACTGAGCGATGCCAACATATCGATCCTCTCTGACGTGATGTCGTTCGTGGGCCACTCGGGGTTGCCGTTCGTCATCGGAAGGGGACTTCAACATGGTGTCCGAGGTTCTCTTGGAGAATGGGATCCCCGAGCTCCTGCGAGGCTCGCTCATCTCTGCCCCTGGGGATCGAGGGTCTCTTACGGTGCCCAGTGGAACCAAGCATTATGATTATTTCCTCGTTTCTGGTGGTTTGAGTAAGTGTGTGAAGGACGTGGCCTTGATCGAGGAGGCTGCGACGTTCCCACATATCCATGTCAGCTTGGAGTTTCACAAGGCCCTCAGCACGCTTCGGGCCCTCAGGTTCCGCAAACCTCCGAAGCTCCCCGTCGATCCCGCTGTGGGCCCCGTCGTTCAGCCGCCCGAGTGGGCGCGTGCTCTGGAGCTTCTGGATATCACCTTGGAGCGTGCGGAGTCTGAGAGTCTTGAGGAGGCCTTTGAGGGCTTGGACACAGCCTACTAGGTGTGGGCCAATTTGTCTGAGGTCGAGCTGGTCAATTCAACGCAGACTTCCATTCCAGTTTTAGGCGCGCGCGGCCGCAGGCCTCGGTGCGAGTGGTGCGACCCGCTCGCCACGGACTCCAGGGCCGCCCCGCCGTCGGCGCAGCCGGCGGTCAATTTCTTTGTCGTGCAGTTGCGCGCCCTCATTGTCCAGTCTCTCGTAGGGCAGCTGCAGCGACCTCCTCAGAAGATCCTGGAGACTCATGGGCAGTGGTTTATTGTTCATGATCAGGTTCTGTTATATCTTGGGCGCTGTGGGGAGCTTTCTGGATGACTGGGGGTGCTCTCTGGCGCAGCTTCTGGAGGATTTTGAGGAGTCGCTATCTGAAGCCGCGGCTTTTACTCAGAAGGAGTCTAGGGCTTCTTGGAGGCAGTGGATCCTGGAGGGAATCGAGAAACGGGGTAATAGGGCTCACCAGTGCACTCGTGACCCCCAGAGCTGGAAGCCCACTACTACCCTTGGCTCCGACGGGGCCGTTGTCCCAGATCCCCTCAGCCTCCTGAAGTCCGAAGCCCTTAAGTTTGCCGAGCTATGGGGTACGACGTGCCAGGATGCGAGGCCGCCTGACCGCTTTGCTCGCGAGGCCGTCCTGGAGCCTCTCCCGTTCGCGTCGCCTGCGAAGCTGCGGGACCTCAGCCGCGGGTACTCTCGTGTCATGGCCGTGTCGGTGGACGGCTTCCACATGAGGCATTTCGCCCAGCTTAGTGACGGCGCTCTTCTGGCGTTGGGCAAGATGTTCCAGCTTTGGGAGATGTTGTCGGCTTTTTCGACTCAGCTGAGAGTGGTTCTATTGGCGATACTTGCGAAGGCCCCTGGAGGCTTTAGGCCCATCGGCCTCTTCGTTGGCACCTACCGCCTCTGGGGTCGAGCACGCCGTCGCTTAGCTGAGGGGTGGGGGGCGGCTTGGCATTTTTTTTTTTTTGTCTCTCGCGTGTGGACGCCTCAAGTCTTCTTCAGATGTTGTTTGGAGGCAAGCTCTAAGGTCTGAAGAGTCTGTTTCCTGTCTGGAAGTTTCGGCGAGCGTTCTCTGGGACATGTTTAAGTTCTATGAATTATTTGACCTGGAGCTGCTTCTAGACAGGTGCAGGCGCGTCGGCTTCTCTCTGCAGGCTTCGCGCTTGTGCGGGTTCGCCTACCAGTGTGCCCGCTTCATTTTGATGAACGGCAGTGTCAGCGGACCGTGGTTGGCAGCCAAGGGGGTTATTGCAGGGTATTCCATTGCAACCACCTTCGTTCGCATCTACCTAGTCCTGGATTTGGATCGTCTGACACTGCCACGTTCAGTCACGCTATATGCTTATATCGACGACTGTTCTCTCAATTGCGTCGGCACCGTCGAGACTGTCGTCAGAGACCCGGCCTCGTCGTCTCGGGCTTTGCACCGCGTCCTCACCTTAGATTGCAAGTGTTCGATGTGGATCGATCGCAACTCGGGGGTCATGGCTGACCAGGCTTGTCTCATCTCGTCATCTTCGCAAGTCGCTCATCGCCTTCGAGGTATCTTGGGAGGCCTCGCTGGGCCTATTACGACGGGGGTCGCTAACCTGGGGGTAGGTGAGACTCAAGGGAAACCTCGTCGTTCTTCGGGTTCGGGTCGTGGAGCTACCGCCAAGAAGCGAGCCGCGATGTTTAACCGCAGGGTCAAGAGGTTGACCAAGCTCAAGCCCGACTTGGGCAGGAGATGCAAGCTGATATGTGCAGCGGGTCCCGTGCCTGGCTTACTGTGCGGAGCCGAAGTCCATGGCTGCAGTGATGGGGAGGTCCTGCACCTACGTCGGTCGATCGGTCGTACTATGCAGCCTTCAGCAGGGAGTAGATCGCTATCGGTCCTTATGATTTCGGAAAATGACCCAGCATGGCTTTCGGCCGTGGCGCCGGCAGTCCGCTGGGGCAAGGAGGCGTGGATCACCGCCGGCAAGATCACTTTTTTTTTTTTTTTTTTTTTTTTTTTTTTTTTTTCTCTCTCTCTCTCTCTCTCTCTCTCTCTCTCTCTCTCTTTTGCTGCGCTGCGTTCAGCGTGGAGCGCCGCGTTCGGCAAGGGTCTCTCGTGGAGGTCCCGTGGCCGTCCCGTGGGCGCCATGAAGTTGTCTTTGTGCAGGATCGACTGGCAGATGAAGGATCCCTTCACTATGATCAATGACCTTCAGCAGGACATATCGTTGCCAGTCACGCGTCCTGCCCTCTTGAAGAAGCTGTTGCGTGAAGGAGTGCTGCGGATCCTGGAGAGATCAGCCAGCAATACCTTGGGGTCCCCGCAGCGCCTGTGCTTCGACGTGGTGGTTTCAGCTACTCGATCGTTGAAGTTCGATAAGATCCAGAGGGGCTCCAACAAGGCGGTTCTGTGGGGCTACGTGGACCCGTGATAAGGCCATCTCGTTAGGCTATCAGTGTTGCCCTAAGTGTGTGCTCTGTGGTGAGCCCGACTCTCTGTATCATAGGCTCTGGAGGTGCAGTGCTTGCTCGGAGCTCAGGGCCTCCCTTGTGGACCCCTGTTTTGTTAGAAGCCTCTCAGGAGCCCAATGTGGACCTCCTTCTATTCACCAGAGGCCTTTTCCGACACCCAGGGGATTTCCCCCCCCCCCCCCCGCTCTCGGACGCTGGAGTAGACATTCAATGGCGCGAAGACCCCGAGCGTCGGGGTGGAGGATTTGAAGGCCACATTTTCATCGACGGATCGTGTTTCAAGCATCCAGTGCGAGAGCTCGAGAACGGGGTGGGGGAGTTCTGTTTTTGAAGATCAGGAAGCCACTTCACCTCTCTGCGCGGTTCTGGCCCCCGTCTGGAGCCCCACGCCCCAAACCAGCCAGGGTGGGGAGTATTCGGCCATCGGAGGCGCCGTGTTCTTGACGGGTGGGCCCAGCGATATCTATACCGATTGCTTGAATGTGCATGAGCAGTATCATGCCCCTGGTTTCTGCAATCAGATCAACTAGAAGCTGGTCTACAGCGGAATGGTCATGCAAGCTCTTTCCCAGGCCTCCTTGGTCCGCAGCTTAACCAAGGTGAAGGTTCACCAGAGTTTCGAAGCTGATTTGCCTCCCCTGGAGGCTTTTCACCGCTGGGGCAACCATGCGGCCGACCTTGCTGCGAAGCGAGGAGCCCTCCAGCATCCCGAGGCCTCGCCCGAGCTGCAAGTTTTGGTCGGCCGTGATATCATGGTTACCAAAGCGGTGGCGCGTTTGTCTGCTCACCTCCTCCCGCTCTGGCCTCGCCTGGAGCTCAAGGGGGTGCCTCTGATCGTCCCTCCGCGTCCTGCTGCTGTGGCCCGATCGGGCCACCGTTGGGCGAGGGTGGACTCTCTCTGGCAGTGCACACAGTGTTTGCGCGCGAGGCGCTCTGCGGCAGAGCCGCCTCCTGGCGTCTGTTCTCACCATTGCCGCGTCAACGTCACTCGTCTGTTGCAGTTCGGCCACAGGTGCTGGGTAGTGGATTGCAGTGACGATTCTTTCATTTGCTTTTGCCAGGTGTGCAAGAGCTGCACCTCAGGGCTGCGACTCGCTCATCTCGCGAGTCGTTGCACGGGCCCTCCTGTCAACGAGGATGGCCTGCCCAGGGCACCCGGCGGCTGGGCTAAACTCTTGTCTGGCCGCCATCCGAAGCGGCCCAGGGTGACTATTCTGTCCAGCACGATGGCCGCTCTGTGCCCGTGAGCCCTCGGGGGGGCGGTTGGCCCCCCTGGGTTCGTGGATGCCTTTGGCTTCGTGCTGGCTTGTCGCCTGCTCGCTGCTCCTGGCCTCGCTTGCGCGACTCAGGAGTGGGAGCTCTCCGCGCCTCGCCGCTCAGCCTGCCAAACTGGTGGTTGGAGGCGCTCTGCTGCGGTGCATGTTTAAAAATCCGAATTCGAGGATGTCCCGACCGAGCTTGTACTTACCTATATACAACTCTCTACACCATGAGGGGTGGGCATGATGCAGCGCCCCCTGCTTGGCATATTGATCGGCTATTTTGTTGCCCTCCCACCTCGCGCGGCCGATGCTCTCTCTTTCTCTCTCTCTCTCTCTCTCTCTCTCTCTCGGCCCGCGAAGCGTGGGCCTTGACTTTACAGACCTGCGCGCTGTGGCTCATACCGCCGAGCTCTCTCAGAGCCCTGAACATCTTTTCCCAGGGGTCCAGGTGCAAGAGGCCCTTCTTGTCGAGCCTGCTGGGGCCCCGTGGATTACATTCTGATTGCCAGTGAAGATCCTCAGCGGGGGTACTCCGTTCTTCAGTGCCTGCAGCACTGCGTAGAGCTCCCCTTGCAAGATTATGTGTCCACTGTGGCTCTGGCAAAGGCCCGTGGCGCACGTACTCCATGTCATAGCTGTCTTCTCGGAGCGTGAAGCTCCAGCCTGCTCTCCGCGGCGGGGGGTAGTCTCCGTGCTGCAGGGGGCCGTCCGTGTAGATGCCCCCTGTCGCGAGCCCCATCCAGTCGCCCTCGTGGAGCCACTCGTCGCAGGACTCGATGCTCCACAAGTTCAGCTCCTCTGCGGGGTCCGCCGTGATGCCGCGGCCCCATCGGCCCTCGGCTGCACGTCCTCCTGGCCATGGGTTGGCGCCTCTCTGCGCTATGTGGCGCCCACCCACTTGCTCTCGGATGTGTCGCCTTGCGGGGCAGACGAAGGTCCTGTGACGGTCCGCCCCCCATGCCACCCCGCATGCTGTGCATGTGTCGTCTTTCGCTGCCCCCTTGGCATAGAGGCGCGCCTGTGGCCAACTGCCGCCAAAGAACAGGACGCGCACTCTTGTGCGGTGTGCCCGCGTACACCGTCCCTTCAGCGGCCGCTGCAGTAGTGCCCGCACTGGTGCGAGGAAGATGGGTGTGATGCGGTAGTCGTCCCCGTGCTCCTGCAGCCAGCTATCCTTGAGCTGCTGCTCCGTGGTGGTGACGACCAGATGGTACAGCTCCTGCAGTCTGGTGTAGCGTAGGTCGTATACTGCACTGCCAACTGATGGTACATGCCGACTGCGTCATCCAGCCCAATCGCCGCACCGTAGCAATGAAAGCTCCAGCTGGCCCTCGTATTGTCAGCCATTGTGACTTGCACATCGCAAGCTTCGTAGCCCACGTTCTCCACGCCATGCTCAGCCTGCTCGCCAACTGCTCGTCGAGGGCCGCCTCCTGCCTCGCCGTGGCCCACGCTAGGATGGGCCGGCTGTTGATCAGGTTGCCAGGGTCCACGTTGTCGCTCAGCAGCGTGAGTGGTGCGGACATTCCCTTCGTATTGCCCTGCGTCGCAATTGCCACACTCGTTCTCAACTCGTTCAGCTTGCCGTCCGTCATGCCGAAGACTGAAGATCCGTAGAGTAGGGCTGGTACCTTGGCGTGCCTGACGCTCTTGTGCGCTGCTCCTCCTGCCGACCTCACGGCTGCCACCTGTGAGGCCCTTGCTGCAAACTTGAGTGCCCGCTTGCTTTGCAGCAAGGGCCACACTGGTGGCAGCCGTGAGGTCGGCAGGAGGAGCAGCGCAAAAGATCGTCAGGCACGCAAAGGTATCAGCCCTCGAGGAGGAGGAGGAGGAGGAGGAGGAGGAGGAGGAGGAGGAGGAGGAGGAGGAGGAGGAGGAGGAGAGGAGGAGGAGGAGGAGGAAGAGGAGGAGGAGGAGGAGGAGAGGAGGAGGAGGAGAGGAGGAGGAGGAGGAGGAGGAGGAGGAGGAGGAGGAGGAGGAGGAGGAGGAGGAGGAGGAGGAGGAGGAGGAGGAGGAGGAGGAGGAGGAGGAGGAGGAGGAGGAGGAGGAGGAGGAGGAGGAGGAGGAGGAGGAGGAGGAGGAGGAGGAGGAGGAGGCGGCTGAGGAGGAGGCGGAGGAGGAGCAGGCGGAAGAGGAGGAGGAAAACTAATCGGAGGTTGGGGGGTGAGTCCGACGTGAAGCGGAGACCCCCCCTACCAGGAAATCGTCGATTTCGGTTTCGGGTTCGTGTTGTGCGTGCCGTGCGTGCGTGCGGGCGAGGCGAAGCTGCGTGGGCGGGCGAGAGGAAATCCTCCTGTGGCTGGGCCGCGGCCGGACCAAATGTTTCTCCTCCGGCGGCCGGTGGCCCGCGGTGTCCCGCCGGTGTCCCGCTGGTGTCCCGAAATCCTCCTGTGGCTGGGCCGCGGCCGGACCAAATATTTCTCCTCCGGCGGCCGGTGACCCGCGGTGTCGTCCCGCCAGTGTCCCGCTGGTGTCCCGTTGTGCCCCGTGGTGTCCCGTGGTGTCCGCCGTTGCTAGGGCGAAGTCAAGACAAATGATTCTCCTCCGTCTGGCGGTGGCTCGCGGTGTCCCGTTGTGTCCCGTGGTGTCCACCGTTGCTAGGGCGAAGTCAAGACAAATGATTGTCCTCCTTCCGCCCGTCCGGCGGTGGCTCGCGGTGTCCCGCGGTGTCCCGTGGTGGCCCGTGGTGTCCAGTGGTTTCCCGTGGTGTCCCGTTGAGTGAGATCGATAGTGAGATCAATAGTTAGATCGATAGTGAGATCGATAGTGAGATCGATACTGAGATCGATGTGGTGCCCCGAGGTGTCCCGTGGTGTCCCGTGGTGTCCTGTTGAGTGAGATCGATAGTGAGATCGATAGTGAGATCGATGTGGTGTCCCGTGGTGTCCCGTGGTGTCCCGTTGAGTGAGATCGATAGTGAGATCGATAGTGAGATCGATGTGGTGTCCCGAGGTGTCCCGTGGTGCCCCGTGGTGTCCTATGGTGTCCTGTTGAGTGAGATCGATGGTGAGATCGATAGTGAGACCGATAGTGAGATCGACAGGTGTCCCGCGGTGTCCCGTGGTGTCCCGTGGTGTCCCATTGAGTGAGATCGATAGTGAGATCGATTGAGTCAGATGTTGATTCTCCCCCCTCTCCCCCCCTCACCCCCCCCTCACAACCTCCTTATTACCCGAAGAGTGGTCGTATGGGTAACAATAGTAATAAGGATAATACTCGTTACTCTCATAATAAGAAAACGGAGACGAATACTCTGAAGAAGACGAATAATAGTACGAAGAATACGCATAGAAATAGTAGCATTAAGAATAATTCTAGAATGGTAATAATCAGAAACATAAGACTGATAGTATCAATACTAATTCCGACAATAATAATAAGAGTAATAACGCGAATAATCGTACGAACACTAAAGCGAATACGAATACTAAGCATACTAGTAATAATAGACATAGTAATGATACTAAGACTAAGCATAGTAATAATGCAACTGTTAACAACAATACTAATCACAAATAGTGTTGGTAATAAGAATGCGACTGCTAATATTTTTTAGTAATGCTGATCATAAGGCGAATGATAAGAACACTAACAACATTAGTAATAAGACGAACCGTACTACTTAGAACAGTACTACTCGTACTAATAATAATACTACTAATAAGAGTCGCAGTAATAATAATGATCGTACTTCGAAG